TATCGTTTGGTTTTAGATACTGGTCATCATTTGGACCTTGTCAATACCCTTTATGCTCCTTCTATTTCTCGTAATTTGGTTTCGGTGTCTCAACTAGATAAGACTGGGTATTTTTGGAACATTGAAAATGGTTCTATTAGTTTGTTCAAACAGAATGTTTTATTGGGTTCTGGTACCCTTGTTGATGGTTTGTACAAACTAAAGCTTGATACCCTATTCGCTGAGACTCTCTTAACCTTGCATCATAATGTTGGTATTAAACGTGGGTTGTTTGATGAATCCTCTGCTTACTTGTGACATAAACGGTTGGGTCACATATCCAAAGAAAGAATGGAAAGGTTAGTAAAGAATGAAATCCTTCCTCATTTGGATTTTACTGACCTTGGAATTTGTGTTGAGTGTATTAAAGGAAAACACACAAAACACACACTTAAGAAAGCAGCCACAAGAAGCTCACAGCTCCTTGAAATTATACACACTGATATTTGTGGGCCTTTTGATGTTCCATCACTTTGTGGAGAAAAGTATTTCATTACCTTTATTGATGATTTTTCACGTTATGGATATATCTATTTGCTGCATGAAAAATCTCAGTCGGTAGATACCCTTGAGGTGTTTATCAATGAAGTTGAGAGGCAATTATAAAGAAAGGTGAAAATTGTCAGATCTGATAGAGGTGGAGAATATTATGAAAAATATGATGAAAGTGGACAGTGCCCTGGTCCATTTGCTAAGTTCCTAGAAAGACGTGGTATTTATGCTCAATACACTATGTCAGGAACACCGCAACAAAATGGTGTTGCAGAAAGGCGGAATCGTACTTTAATGGATATGGTTAGGAGCATGTTAAGCAACTCATCTTTACCCAAATCATTGTGGATGCACGCTTTAAGGACCGCTGTGTATTTGTTAAACAGGGTTCCTAGTAAAGCAGTTCCTAAGACACCTTTTGAACTGTGGACGGGAAGGAAACCCAGTTTAAGGCACCTGCATGTTTGGGGTTGCCCAGCGGAAGTGAGAATATATAATCCACATGAAAAGAAACTGGACTCACGAACAATCAGTGGTTTCTTCATTGGTTATCCAGAAAAATCTAAGGGGTATCGATTTTATTGCCCTAACCATAGTACAAGAATTGTTGAAACTGGAAATGCTAGGTTCATTGAGAATGGTGAAGTTAGTGGGAGCTTAGAGCCACGCAATGTGGAAATTCAAGAAGTTAGAGTGCAAATATCCTTGCCTCTACCCTCTTCTCAAGTTATTGCTCCTGCACATGTTGAGCATGATAACGATTTGCAGGAACAACAAATGAACGGTCAAGCACCACCTAATATTGCTATTGAGAATGAACCCAACATAGATGAACCACAAGAAATCGCATTAAGAAGGTCTACAAGAAATCGAAGGCCTGCAATTTCTGATGATTATGAGGTTTATCTTCACGAGTTGGAATCTGATTTAGGACTCTATCATGATCCAGTTTCATTTTCACAAGCCATGGAAAGTGAGCATTCTGATAAATGGTTAGCTGCCGCGAAAGAAGAGATGAAATCTATGTATAAAAATGAAGTTTGGGACCTTGTTGATTTGCCTGAAGGTTGTAAAAGAGTTGGTAATAGATGGGTTTGGAAGACCAAACACGACTCTAATGGCAATATCGAAAGACACAGGGCCAGACTTGTTGCCAAAGGTTTCACTCAGAAAAGTGGTGTTGACTATAAAGAGACATTTTCACCCGTCTCTAAGAAAGACTCCTTAAGGATTGTCATGGCAATGGTAGCTCATTATAATCTAGAGCTCCATCAGATGGATGTGAAAACCGCCTTTCTGAATGAGAATTTAGATGAAGCAGTCTATATGGATCAACCTGAAGGTTTTGTGGTTGAGGGAAAAGAACATATGGTGTGTAAATTAAAGAAGTCAATATACGGACTTAAACAAGCTTCCCGACAATGGTATATTAAGTTCAATGATACCATTACATCTTTTGGATTTAAGGAGAACATCGTCGATCGATGTATATATCTGAAGATTAGTGGGAGTAAGTTTATAATTTTAGTTCTGTATGTTGACGATATCTTGCTTGCTACTAATGATCTTGGTTTATTACATCAAACCAAGGAGTTTCTCTCTAAGAACTTTGAAATGAAGGATTTGGGTGAGGCATCCTATGTGATTGGAATAGAAATATTTCGTGATAGATCACAAAGACTGTTGGGATTGTCTCAGAAATCATACATTAACCGGATCCTAGAGAGATACAACATGGCTGAATGCTCTGCAATTGTCGCTCCAATTCAGAAGGGAGATAAATTTAGTCTCAAACAATGTCCAAAGAATGAATTGGAATGCAAGCAAATGGAACACATTCCTTATGAATCTATTGTTGGAAGTTTGAATTATGCACAAACTTGTACCAGACCAGACATCAGTTTTGCTGTCGGAATGCTGGGCAGGTATCAAAGTAATCCAGGAGTAGATCATTGGAAAGCTGCAAAGAAGGTACTAAGGTATCTGCAAGGAACAAAAGACCACATGCTCACCTTTAGGAGATCTGATCACCTTGAGGTGATTGGATATTCAGATTCAGATTATGCTGGATGTGTAGACACCAGGAAGTCTACTTTTGGCTATTTGTTCCTTCTAGCCGGAGGGGCAATTTCATGGAAGAGTGCGAAGCAGTCTGTTATTGCTACATCCACTATGGAAGCTGAATTCATAGCTTGTTATGAAGCTACGAATCATGGTTTATGGCTGCGGAATTTTATTTCTGGACTTGGAATTGTCGACACTATCGCCAAGCCGCTGAAAATTTACTGTGATAATTCCGCAGCGGTATTCTTCTCTAAGAATGACAAGTATTCGAAGGGTGCTAAGCATATGGAGGTGAAATACTTTGTCGTTAAGGAAGAAGTTCAGAAACAAAGGGTGTCGATCGAGCATATTAGCACACAGCTTATGATTGCTGATCCATTAACAAAAGGATTGCCTCCTAAGACATTTACTGAACATGTCGAAAGGATGGGGATTATAGGACGTCATGACTAAAGTTATTTTATGTTTCATGGATTGACACTTTGAGCTCATTTATTTTGTTTCTGAAATAAAGTTATGAATCTTGTTTTATTTATTATGATCAGTATATATATACATTATGCATTATGTGAACAGAACAAGATTTTTGTCTTTACTGAAGACATTATTGTTGGACCATTATGACTACCTTGTTATGTGTCGTATTGAGCATGAGACTGGTTTTGTGGTACATGGAAGGGACTATGTCGATAAATTGATATAGAACCGCCATGATCCTAATCTAGCTTTCATACTTGATTATGACATTATGGTGAACCAAATATTATGGATTTATCTTATGATGTGCACACTTATGTTTATTATTAGATCTTGTGATATATAATGACACATGGACCAAGTGGGAGAATGTAAGCCCAATTCCCGTAGGTCACTAGGGAATAATTGTGGCCCAAGTGTAATTATCATTTAATGGTTTAATATATAAGGTAAGTCGTATATTGGTTAGGTTAATGAAAAAGGTAATTTCTTAATATACCCTGATGGTGGGTCTATATAAAGAAACCCTAGGATTGGTCCTCTCTCAACCCATTACGCAGAATTTCTTAGCCATCACAGAAATCTCTAAACCTAAAACCTAAAGGGGTCAAGAGGGAGAAACTCAATTCCGGTGATTACTACTCCAGCGCCGCCGCCGCTCTCGTCATGGATCGAGGTAGGTTTCCTTGATCTATTACCGATTGGTGAAATCATCTAATTCTAAGATCCATGCTATTATGATTTATGCTTACAGTATTGGGATATCTTACCAAGCACATGGGCTAGCAATAAGCTATGTTATCTTAGCATAGCCATGAAATTATCAATTGTCCGACGACGACTCATTCTTGTCGTGCTTTTATTTATAAGGTTTTGGTAATTTGCAGCACAACGAGTAAAGAGGACATGTGCTCCAATCCGAGTCACTGAATGCTTTGAGATCATGAGAAGAATGAGAAGGAAATAATAGATCAATATCACAGTGTTTCTTGATGTATATGAGAATGCGAGTGACAACTTTCTGATGAGTGATAGTAGGATGGTACATGGATTAACTGACTTGTTGATTTGCAAAGCTTAAATCAAGACAAGTTATGGTTAAGTATGGAGCTTACCAATTAATAAGCTTCTTTAAGCAATGGCATCAACAAGATCAGTATCATCTTCAACCTGTAAGTGAGTTTTGTAATCCATTGGAGTGGTGACTTGTTTGATACCAATATTTCCTCTGAGAGAGATGGATTCCCTTTGGACTACAAGCAACCCTTTGGACTACAAGCAACTTTGAGTCCAAGGAAATACTTGAGGTTACCAAGATCCTTAATGATGAAGGTATGATGAAGGGATGACCTTAAATGCGAGTTATCTCTACCAGATGATCTCCACCAACTATCAAGTCATTAACATAAATAAGAGTTATTGTGAAAGATGTGCGAGTAACTCTAGTGAAGAGTGAATGATCAACCATACTATGCATATATCCTTCTTTAATCAGACTGTCTGAAAGTTCCGAAAAACATTGTTGAGAAGCCTGCTTTAGTCAATATAGTGCCTTGTTGATTTTGCACACATCATTGGGATGAGAGGACTGACAACACTTGGAGGAAGCTTCATATAAACAACTTTGTTGAGTTCACCATATAGGAATGCATTGTTAATGTCCAACTGATGAAAATGTCAATTTCTTACTGAAGCAACTAGCTGTTAAAAACAACCTCTCATTGTAAATGATTTTGACCATGAGAGCAAATGTGTCCAAATAGTCGATTCCCTCTCTAAGTGTGTATCCCTTGACACGAAGTATGACTCGAAGGACGATGAGAAAGAAAACAATTGTTGTACTAACTGGCTGAAGAACATGCTAGTTAATGAGGGAAAGAAATGCCACAAGTTATTGGTACAGATGATTTAATGGCCATAAAGTACGACTACACGGTTTTAGGGTGACAGCGAATCGGAATGAGATGCAGATCATTTTTCCTTGTCACGGTAATGCCAAAACGTTCAGACATGTCGAGGTCTTGAGGCTTGATTCCGTTCGGGAGTTCCCAATCAAAATGATAAAGCAGATTGGCAAGCATAATTTCGGCAAAAGTCATGCCGAAGAGGATCCCCGGACACATTCTTCTCCCCGCGCCAAATGGGATGAACTCAAAACATGTTCCCTTGTAGTCGCTGGCTTCCGGACGATCGAGAAACCTTTCTGGACAAAACTCTTGAGGTTCGGCCCAGTGACGAGAATCTTGGCCGATAGCCAGCACATTGATATAGACCCTTGTTTTTTCGGGTATGCCGTATCCCGCAATCACAACCCTTTCCTGGCATTCTAAAGGAACTAACAGAGGGGCGGGAGGGTGCAGCCTCAGAGTTTCTCTCAAAATTGATTTGAGATAGTTTAGCTCAGCAAACCCTGCCTCGTCTACTATTCCTTTTCCATCGAAAACTTGTCTCACCTCTTTGTTTGCTTTCTCTAAGATATGCGGATGTCTCATAAGTTCTGACATAGCCCATGACACGGTCGTAGCTGTTATTTCACCGCCACCAAGAATCATGTCCTGCGCGGGCATTCATAAAAAAAAATTGGGTATAAGTTTTATAGTTTTCATATAGAAATTAAATTCTATGGTACTCGGGGACGAACAGTAACACCACATACTAACACGCTCTCTCAAACCCAAGTCACTTATATGGAACAGAAAACCTCTCGCGGTCACAAAATTAAGGCTATGATACCATGTGCAAGCACCAGGCCTGTTGGTCGATCTCCCAATAAATCGAGTTGTTAATAAGCTGAAAGGTTGATCTTCTATATATATACAATTAACTTTCTATCGGAAGACATATATACTTACCATGATGACAGCTTTAATCTCGACATTAGTGAAAGGGAATCCGAGTTCTGGATTCTCTCTGTACTTCAAAAGCACGTCGACAAGATCTTCCGCAGCCTCAACAACGTCGTGATCTTGTTGAGCTCCTATTTTCGCTACATGTTCATCGACTATAGCTTGCAGGATGGCATCTGCTTCTTGGTGAATCTTGTGTGCCCGTCTCTCGGCTCCGATTAGTCGGCGGAGGAACTTGCTGGACGGAAATACGCTGCCCACATCAAATCCTCCAAACGCCTCTGTTATGTCGTGCAACACTGGTAAGAAGGCTTCCTCTTGCTTCTGCAGCTTCCCAAAAGCCGCCCTTGAAATGATGGTGATCCCCACCGACATCAGCATGCGGCTAATGTTTAAAACAACCTGCAAAAATATAGTTAGTAAAATACGGCACCGAGCGCGAGTAAGTTTTGCATTTTATACCTAGCTACTAGTAGAACTTTAACATTCATTATAATTTATATATATATATGAGAATATTAACCAATGATCATCATAAATCGTAATCCATTAATCGTACGCCACAAATACAACCAATAATACAGTATACGATGAAATTAACTAACAGACGCAGTTGGAGGCCTCCCAGTCCCCAACACACCCTATTGGCCACCCCCTGTTTAATATGAGAGTCGGCCATCAAATGGGAGGAGAAAAATGAAACGATTTGATAATAGTATGTAAATAGAGAATCTAAGCAATTCTCAATCCAATCCACCAATTCAATCCACCAACCCATTAAAAATATCCCGTATCCACCTAATCCAATCCATTTAAATTCAATCCATTTGATCCAAATGGCAAATTATGGTTTGGTACCTGTACTTTTATATTTTATATTTTGGTACCCAAAATTTAATTTTTTATACGAAAAATATCATTGGAAAATTACTTTTTGGTACCTAAAATTTTTCATTATGACATTTTAGTACCTAAACTTTTTACATTTTACATATTGGTCATTGGTTGAGAATGTCAGTTGGATTAATGAATAACCCACCAATCCACTTGATCTAGCCCATGAATCCACCAAATCATTGGATCCAATCCATAAATCCACCAATCTAATCCACCAATTTATGTATATCCATTTGCCACCTCTAATCTAATATAACCTGTATAAGATACGCAAATACATATTAAAATGGAGTATTTACTAACTAGCTATCACCGCTACCTGTTGTTGCATCTGTATGGAGGTGACCAACTTGGCCATCTCGTCCTGCATAACTGGCCGGAAAAAAGCAACCCGTTTGGCATTCAGCAGCCCCAGAGTGCAAACCTTCCTCACGTGCCGCCAGTACTCGCCGTAGGGCGCGAACGAAACGTTCCGGCCGCCGTACGACAGGATGCCGGCGATGGGGAACATGGGCCTGGAGGCGAAGTTGAGGTCGTGGGTTTTGCGGAACTCACTGGCGAGCTCAGGGGAAGAGACGATGACGTTGGAGGTTTCCCCGAGCTGGAGGTGCATGATTGGGCCGTGCTTCTTTGCCAGGTCCATCAGCCGGCGGTGCGGTTGCTGCGGCCCAACCATCTGGTGCAGATTTCCGATTATGGGCAGCTTCCATGGGCCCGGAGGTAATGGGCCGGACGACGGCGGCGGCGACTTCTTTGACCTTTTCAGACTTTTGAGTGCGGCGAGGAATATGGTGGTTAGGAAGACGATGATGACGAGGATGGTGTTGAAGAAGGGGATGATCATATTCTTTTTACCTTTCTTTCTCCACTCTTTTGATACTAATTTGATTGATGGCATCACTTGATCCACCAGGTTCTGCTCCTATATATAAAAGTCAAAGAGTTTCGATGGGCAGACCGTTCGACTGGAAATTTTTTATGTCTGAGCTTAAACCGGTAGAAGGTCTTTAGCGTATAAGTAATGGTTGAACTACGATTTAAGTATAAAATACTCTACCTCTGAATGTAGTAATGGACTGGGCAATCGATAATGCAAGAAAGTAAAAATCATACATATTTACGTGGTTCATTAACACAATGTGTATTATAATTCATAAAAGAAAATAAACATGATTTGTGTTATAGCTAATCCAGATTCACTATAACATATTATAAAGATTGAGAATATATATATATATAGACAGACGACCGAAACCTATGCAAACCAGACCCAATAAAACAAATATGTATAAACTCATATATTGTGAATTTCATTCACCGAAAAATAATCTGTTTTACGCAAAAATTTCTTATACGAACTACGATCACTCTATGAAGCTAAAATATATAAAAATCTCACAACTAATGGACAACGACCAGACCAATTGGAGGTCCAAGACTCCAAGTGGTAGCAACATAAGGTTTTTAAATGGCATTGCTCCTTGGCTTGATTATGAGTCCGGATCTTGTGATAAAGGGGTGCTTAGTCACTTGACTAAGCCTCTCCTAGCCCTTGAATTTAGATGGACTGATCTAATGGTGAAATTTAGGGAAGGGATAATTAAATAGTGGCAGGGGCAGTATTGGAATTATAAAAAAATTGCATTTAATTTTTTCCTCCAATATTCCTTTTCTGCGTTGCTATTCGGAAAAAATCCCAAACTACACACGTTATTAAAAAAAATTCTCAAAATACATATGTTATAAAAAACATTCCCAATCTACACATGTTTTGACTTCACCGCGGCCGTCAACCGCAGTGAATAACATCACCGCGGCCGTCAAAAGCGGTGAACGCTTCATTATCACGGTCGGAAGCGGTGAATTCTTTCTAGCCATTCACCGTTGGTGACCAAAGCGGTGATGGCCTAATTGGGCTTAATTAAATTGGTGGCCCAAAAGCACAACGTGGGGGCACCATCCTTTCCATTCAATTGTAAAATCCCCTGCATTACTTCCTCCCCCTGCCGTTGCTTCACCCCCTGTGACGGTGGTTTCCCCTACAACATCCCAACCACCACTACTTCCTCCGCCAGCCCATGCTTCTCTTCCTTTCAAATCGAGATCCCTTCCTCCTCCGACCATGAATTCTCCCACCGCCTCCCCTGCAGAATCCCCGACGTATTCAATGTCTCCTCCTCCATCGGCTACCCCGTCGGAACCCTCTACGGCTATGCCGCCGACTCCAACATCATCCTCCATCCCTTCTCCGATGGGTTCCGTTCTGTCCCCCCACCGACAGTCGCGCCTAGTCTTTCTCCAAGAGTTTTCTCCCCCGCCGCGTCACCGCCTACACCAATTTCTGCCACTCCCACCACGGCTCTAGAGATTGCACCTGCGCTGGGTCCTGCCGCCGCTGCTCCACCGACAGTCGACAGTCTTGTTGCGACGCCGGAGGCTGCGCTTTTAATTTGGGCCAACAATTAATTAACCCAATTAGGCCATCACCGCTTTGGACATCAACGGTGAATAGCCAGAAAGAATTCACCGCTTTCGATCGTGACAGTGAAGCGTTCACCGCTTTTGACGGTCGCGGTGATGTTATTCACTGCGGTTGACGATCACGGTGAAGCCCAAACATGTGTAGATTATGAATATTTTTTATAACGTATGTATTTTGAGAATTTTTTTTAATAACGTGTGTAATTTGGGATTTTTTCCTTGCTATTCTCAACCATGGAAGAGAGAGAAACGTAGCAGTGGGAGAGAAGAACGGCGACGGTGAGAGAGAGGGGAGCGACAACGACGATCGAGAGAGAGAATGGAGATCTCGACGTCGCCGACGATGGTGGAGAGAGGGAAAGAAGATCGCGACAGAGGCGGTAGCCTTGGAGAGAGAGAGCAGATCTAGCCATTGTCGTCGGAAAGCAGAGGAGAGAGAGAGAGAGACGATGGTGGAGGAGAGAGAGGCGACGGAGAGAGCACGTCGGCACGATGGAGGAGAGAGAGGCGGTGCGGCGATGGAGAGAGAGAGATGGAAACGACAGTAGAGAGAGTCAGCGGCGGCGGCGGTGGAAAGAGAGTCGACGGCGGCGATAGCAGTGGAGAGAGAGGGAAGAGCAATGATTTGTAATGCAAGTGTTGTCGGTTTGTATTGTTAGTATTTTTGTACATAATGTCAGTGTGATTTGTATGGTTTGTATGTTTTGTAAAAATGACAAATATATTGGACAAAAATAACAAAGCTTACAAACATTACAAAAGAACTCGACAAACATTACAAAATAACAAAGCTTACAAACATTACAAAAGAACTCGACAAACATTACAAAACAACTCGACAAACATTACAAAAACATACTAACAATACAAAATAACACTACTTACAAATACAAATCGGTAAACTTGTATTACAAATCAATGAATAGAAAGTGTACAAATCATAACATAAAGTATACAAACTAGACAAACAAACATTACAAATTACAATATATACAAAATAGTCATATAAACATTACAAACACAACAGACTAAAATAACAAAGTAGAATGATAAACGATACAAACCGAATTGGTATAAACAATACAAACGGAACTTATAAACATTACAATATAGGTTGACAATCATCACGAATTCAACACTGTTGCCGGAAAATCATCCACCACCATCTTTGGTTGCCGAAAAACTGCTCCACGTCGCCGGAAAAATTGACAAGAAAACCTCTCTCTCCCTCCCTCCTGGGAATAGAATCTCTCTCGCTTTTTTTTCCTGGGAATGGAAAGGAAGCATGGGCATGTGCCCAGAAAATGGAAAAAATGGTCATGTCTCCGGAAAAGTGGACGGCGGGACGCCAATGGCCGGCAGGGGGCGACGGAGACGGACTGCCTTTATTTTTTTCATTTTATAATTAAAAAATAAAAATAAAAATGTAATTACTCTATTACCCTTCATTAAATTAGATTAATTGAAGCCCTTGGATTTTAATGAGGTTGAGTGGTTGAGATTCACTTAGCCATGTGACTAAGAGACCCCCTTAGTCACCTGATCTTAGCCCCTTGATTATGGGGTCATCGTCCGGACACACGTCATATATAGCTAGTAGATCTCTTTTGCTAGCTTCAATTATCGACCCAATCACTTCAATCAAAATTAATGAAAGTTATAAGCAAAAACAATAGAGAGACAATCCTACGTCACAGGATAGTATTTTTTATATTTTATTTTACGGTGGTCATTCCCTTTTAGCATTTTTAGTAAAATACTGTACGAGTAAGTTACGTGTAAAATGCACACGGATATTTTACGTCGTTTCTAAACTAATGATACGTTTAATAGTACACTAATAATCATAAATTATATATAACGAACAAGAGCTTGGTCTAGTGGTAATACCACTAGCCTAGAACCTGGAGGTCCCAGGTTCGAATCCCTTAAGTAGTATCTTAATCACAAATAAGAAACCTAGATCACCCATATAAAAAAATCATAAACTATATATATTTAATTATTTGTAAATAAATGAATATCTAAATAATATTTCAGTTAGCAATTTAATTAATTAAATACAAATATTAAACGTGTTATACAGATTTTGTACGTTTTTAGGCTTCACAGTAATACGGATACGAAAGTTTTCAACGGATAAAATACTTACATCCATATATACGCGTATTAAATGGAATGGCTAAATTGCAAGTTTGGTCACTCGAATTGCTACAAAATTTCACGTTTGGTCACTCGAATTCGTTTATTCTATTCGTAGTCACTTAAATTAGTTGAACAGTCCAAGTTCGGTCACTCTCCGTTAACCTCCGTCAGACTCCGTTAGTGCCGTCAGTTAACTCCTGATGTGGCTAACAGAAATGTCTAATCACCCAATTTTAACCCAGGAAAAAACAAAAATGGACCCGCCATATCAGAAAACATGCCACCTCATATAAACACGACCCAACCCACCCAACCTAAAAAAACCCGTTAACCCCCCAGAAATCGAACCCGTCGTCTCGACTTAATTTCCTCAGTTGCTGGGGTTTCTGAATCTGGGTGTACTCTTCCCATCCAGTCATCCCGGCGACCAAATCGCCGGCCTTGAATTCGGGGTTGTCGGAATCCACCACCTCCGACACCCCAAACCCTTCAATCGGCTGCAACGATTAGAACCCAAACGTCATAAATTGATCAGGAGATTAGAGAAAGTAAAAACAGGGGATTTGGCCATTTGGGGGGAAATTGCGGATTTACTCGGGAGGGAATGAAAGAGGGGATGTAAGAGGCAGGGGAAGGAGGGCGCATTCGGCCTCTCATGTACGGGTCGCAAGAGAGGTAGAGATTCTTGACGAGGAAACCGCCGGACCCTTTTGGGGCTTTGAGCTCCGGCAGCTTGGAGACCGTCACCGTCATGTCGTCTTTCGTCGGGGCTCTGCCGTCGGCCTCCTCAACCCAACCCTCCGCTGCGAGATCCTCAAGTACATCATCATTCATACCTACCCTGTCCAAAAAAATGAGCCTCTGTTTACTTATATCTCTGAAAAGTCCCATATTTGAAACCAGCACTGCCGACGACACGACACACCTGCAACAATAAGAGTGCATCCATTTGCACCCTGGTCAAAACAGAACCGCTGCTCCTGCTGGCTTGGCTCGCTCGATAGAACTCCAGTCTTCAATCGTCGATTGGGTTGGGTCGAGGAGGCCGTCCCAATCGTCGATTCCGTGGAGCTCGCGCCACCGCCCGAAGATGTCCCGCTTGGGGGACTGTGTGGGAGTCATGTGGTCGCCCCAATCGATGAAATCATAGGCCGTGTAGGGAACCTCGAGGAGTCGTGCCAGTGATTTGTGCGGGCGACTGTTGTTCCTCTTGGTGGCGACGGTTTGGGGGTTATTGGATCCGGTGGCGGGGGGTGGAGCAGGGAGATCGAGGGGAAATTCCCCCGGCGGCGGCGGAAGCAGGGTATAGAGGAAGAAGAAGAAGGGTGGATGAGTCACGGATTCGATTTCTGGGTGGGTTAATGGTTTTTTTTTGGTAGGGTGGGTTGTGTTGTGTTTATATGAGGTGGCATGTTTTTCTGACGTGGCATATCAATTTTTGTTTTTTCTTGGGTTAAAATTGGGTGACTAGGCATTTCTGTTAGCCACATCAGCAGTTAACTGACGGCACTAACGGAGTCTGACGGAGGTTAACGGAGAGTGACCGAAGTTGGACTGTTCAACTAATTTAAGTGAGTACAAATGGAATAAACGAATTCGAGTGACTAAATGTGAAATTTTGTAGCAATTTTAGTGACCAAACTTGCAATTTAGCCTAAATGGAATTGTAGTCCTTATATAGTTACTAGTTTTCATTGCCCGCGCTCCGCGTCGGGATTTGAGCAAAATCAAGAAAACAAAACAAAATCAACAAAACAAAACTACTGCCTTTCATGTTTCATACTGTGTAATGTGCTAATGAGTGTATAAATACAAACATATTAAACATAAACATGATTGTCTACATCTTTTAGTTATTGATCTGATTTCCATCAATAAAATTTGTTCTACAAAGTCCATAACATGCTAGCTAAAGTCCAAAGTTAAACATGAACTCATCTACACATTTCAAGCTCCGGAATTTAAAACGACACGCAACGTTAAGTACATGGTGAGTACAAAAGAGAATGTGGCATTGTTGCAGAACACAAGCGGACAGTTGCATTTTATCGCTTGCATTCCGGTGGATATGAAATCATTAACAGTAGCATACTATAACCAAACCTAATTCTTAAAGCTAATACTGGAAAATAACATGTGGAGAGAGGAGAGTCACTGATTAAGTATCAAATGCTGATCACAAATCCTCAAACAAAAGAAATCACAATAGCATATATACATTGGTTTATGCGAGAATGCATAATGGAATATTAAACTCCAGATAGTAAGAGAATTCTAATCAGATGTACACAACAATATGTAACTTGCTCTTGAGTTCCTCTACCTCTGTACTATGTAATAAATATCAAGAAGAAAAGAGAAACCGCTTTACTATCACACAATCAACAATACTGTTGATGTTGCAGCCAGAGCTAATCTCCTGGACCTGATACTTTTTTCTTAGATTCAACGACCAACTCAACACACTGAAATCCCTCTTGATGATCTCAACGCCAAAACCTCCTCAGAAAAGAGACGAAACAGATCTGCAGAAAAAAGAGAGAGCAGGGAGCCATTCAGGAAAGATGATAAAACAAACTCAATAAGAGAGCGAGAATAAAAATAATCACCTTAAACCAAAGCGCAAATCAATGGATCTCGCCGATATCATCTCTTTGCCGGCCTCATTGAACATCAGTTCGTACTTGGTATTCACCTGCGCAAATACCACGGGGACCATGTAGATGCCAATGGTGAGAAACAACAGAACCAAGGAGGAAATCACAAATCCAGGAAGCAAAAAGAGATGAGAGAAAAGCAGAAAACAGAGAAAATGGATTTTAGAAGAGTTGAGAGAGATCTGTGATGACCAAGTGAGATAATAGGGCTCAATAAAGTAAAGGAAAAGACTGATGAAAGAAAAGATAAACGTGGAACTCTATCTACCACCCAATAGAAAGTAGTACCTCTCTTTTCAACTGCAAACTCAACAGAGACAGCTCCCAAGGCTCTCTAACTGTTTCAACTTTCAATGAGTGACCCCAGTCGCCTCACACCTCCAAAACTCTACCCTCTGATAAGCAGGTCAGTTTCTCCATCTCTGAAGACTGAAAAGCCCCCTGCCCACCCAGGCCCTCTGACACAACCGCCCGGAAATCGAAGGGGCCAAAGCTAACATCGGGAACACTGAGCCCACTTGTGGCCAACGTGATAGAGGATACCCAAGCAACTAATTCACGAAACCATAAGACCACCAGTTCCATCACAACCAAGCTATCCAACTCCATTCGATTTCCAATGAGGCCTCACCATAAACCCACCAACACCGTAGCCCAATCCGAGTCGAAACAGTTGTTATGAGTCTGCATGTACAGTAAAACGTCTCTTGGTGCACAGGAATTGCCTCTGCGGGGGGTTTTCTTTTTTCAATATTCACCACTAGTTTCACTATTTCACCGTGGAATATCTCCGCCAAAACATGATTTCTTGCTCCTTGGAAGCAATCAATAATATCCCCTGCCTCCTCCTTACACTCGCAACCATCCTTACGGTCACCTTACTCATCCGAAACAAGCAGCAGAGGTCGAAACCCGCCGCCGGCCTAAACCTGCCGCCGGGGCCATGGCAGCTCCCCATCATCGGAAACATCCACCAGCTAATCGGCCACCGGCAACCCCACCGCCGGCTCAGATCGCTAGCCCACAAATACGGCCCCGACGTGATGAGCCTCCAGCTCGGGGAGCTCTCGTACATCGTAATCTCGACCCCTGAAGCAGCGCAACAAGTGATGAAAACCCACGACTTGGAATTCGCTTCCAGGCCTTCTCTGCTGGCACCCAATGTGCTCTTCAACGGCTGCAAGGACATAGCTTTCGCGCCCTACGGAGAGTACTGGAGACAGATGCGCAAGATCGGAGTCCTCGAGCTCTTCAGCGGGAAGCGGGTTCAATCCTTCCGCCGCGTAAGGGAAGAAGAGGTGTCGAATCTCGTCGATTCGATTGCTCTGCTGGCGGAAACAGGGGAGGCCGTTGATCTCACCTCGATGATGTCTGCGGTGACGAGCGCGGTGACCTCGAGGGCCGCGTTCGGCAAGGCGCCGGAGCTCAGCGATGCATTCATGATGGTTGTCGATCATATATCGGATGTGATTGCGGGTTTCAAGATCTCCGATCTCTATCCTTCGTTCGAATCGCTCCCTGTTCTGACTGGGTACAGAGCAAGGCTGGATAGGATGCGCGAGGCGTCGCATTCGATACTGGATCGGATAATCGACGAGCATAAATCGAGGAGGAGAAGGGCGGGATTGATCGAAGAGGATATGGTTGATGTGCTTCTGAATCATCAAGAAAATCAGGATCTTGGGATACCCATTACCGATGAGGTCATTAAAGGAGTCACTCTAGTAAGTATGCTGATTTTTTGTTTTGTTCTTGTTACAAATTACATTTACCAAAGATGTGTATTCATGAACAAAACACATGTGCACATTGTAATTGTTAGGAACTGTTTCTGGCGGGCATCGACACGTCGACCACAGCGTTTGAGTGGATCATGTCCGAAATGATAGTAAACCCTACAGTGCTGAAAAGAGCACAGGAGGAGGTCAGACAGGTATTTGCTGATGGCAGTGTCGACGAAGCGGGGCTTCGTCAATTGAAGTACTTGGATATGGTTATCTCGGAAGGTTTGAGACTGCACCCTCCGGTCCCTCTGCTTCTTCCAAGGGAGAACGCAGAGAAGGCGACACTCGATGCATACGACATCCCGATCAACACCAAAGTCATTGTGAATGCCTGGACAATCAATCGAGATTCTCGATATTGGACCGAGCCGGAGAAGTTCTACCCCGAGAGGTTCATGGACGGTTCCGTTGACTATAGAGGAACTCACTTTCAGTTCATACCGTTTGGTGCTGGAAGGAGGATGTGTCCAGGAATGTCCTTTTCGCTCGCGATTGTCAAGCTCACTCTCGCGAGTTTACTGTTTCATTTTCGTTGGAGGGTTCCAACCGAAATGACACGAGAAGGTCTCGACATGACTGAATGCTTTGGGGCGGCGTTGAGAAGGAAAAATGCTCTTCGTTTGATACCGGTGCTGTTTGATGACATCGCTTGACCGAGAAGGAAAAACATACGCAAAAAAGTTGTCCGAGGATGAAGAGACGAGGACTTAATTGTTAATTGTTTCTAGTTTTAAGTGCAATTGTAATGTTTACTTATTTCAGGTATTAAAATGAAACTTTAGTACTTTATATGTACAAGGATTGTAAAAGCCTAAAAGGATCATGTATCAGATCATTTTCTATTGAATAAAATTGTCTGTCCAGCTTTCCCCTTACAGCTCAACAAAAAAATCTTCATTGTGAAGGCTTTTACTTTCTTTGTTTTACTTTCTATGAGTATCTTATTCTAAGACTGTATTTTTCATGCACCATTCCTTCATAATGACATATAGTAAACTTACACTATTTCATAGTTCTAACATGACAAAATCCAGTTTACCATGATCATATCCTTAATCTCTTCCAAAAACCCAACTCTTCTTTCTAATATATTTGCATTGCTAGAGATTGCTGCATGCACTCTTCTACGAATCCTGAAAGAATCTGGGATTCATACCCTATGTTGCATGTCATCCATGCCTTCCAATTCTATCATTTTCGCTACCTCGGTGACTTGGTGTTCTTCTCATCACTCGTATCACGCTGAAGATTGACAGAACCTTACAGATTAAATTACGACTCGAATGAGTCGTCGGACAATTGATTATTTCATGGTTAGGCTAGGATAACATGGCTTATTGCTAGCCAGTCGTGAATTGAAAAAAGTTAAGGTTTGCCAGTTGAATACCCTTAGAACAACATAGATCTGCCCCTGCACGCTAACATGTTACATGAATTAAATGTTGTTCAACACATCATAACTCATTTCAGGAAATTTGGATTGAGAAAATTTGTTGCAGGAAATGACATTTTTCCTTTTCGTTTACTGGAAAAAGTTATTAATACCATAAAAACAATTTATTAAGACTGTAAAATAGCTAGTGTTAATTAGCATCCCCATTCGAGTCATTTGAGGACAACAGATTCAATACGTATGCATTGATATTTTAGCATTGCAACTTGGCTTCATTGTAGGTCACCCGCCATTTTAAATTAAGCGTGACACCACAATTACTGACTAAATGACTACTTGAAAATGTTGTTTTCCTACATTATTGTGTATAACTGCAGCACTACGGCGGATTGTGATTGAATGAAAAAACAATCTACCCAGTCCTAGAAGACAAGAAAATGATCACAAATTTTTCTACAAGTAGATCAAGCTAAGAGAGATCAACAATAGTAGAAGTAAATAATCTTAATTATTCAATAATTACAAGAGTATGTTACAATTTACAAGGACCGTGAGTTTACAACACCAAGTGAAAACAGATAGCTATCATCATCGACGGAGACTGACGGTTGGTTACTTACGGTGAAATGATTTGTAAAATTAGTAATGAATAAGAAATAAAAGTAATTCGAGTGACAAATATGAAAAGTTTGAATAATTTGAGTGATCAATCGTATAATTTAGCCTACTTCAAAAATGTAGTTTTCCTACGTACATTATTGTATAATAACTGCTCTACCCACTACGGATTGTGATCGAATGAAAAACAATCCACCCGTGCAAGAGGACAAGAAAAGGATCACAATTTCTCTATGTGTTGAGCAAGAGAGATCAACAATTATAGGAAGCGGGTTATATGGCAAGACAAGAAAAATTATAGAAATAATCCTCCATTAAACCAATAATTGAAGTACCGCGCATGGCATCGGGTTGTTAATAAGTCGAGCCGAGCCGAGCCGAGTTTTGTCTTGTTCAAATTTGGTTCATATATAAACGAGTCGAACTCGAGCTCGGCTCGTTTATGAACAAGCTGAGTCGAGCCGAACACGAGTCAGCTCATTTATTTAATTTTGGCTCATCATTAGGATCAAATTTTTTGCTCGAGCTCAACTCTAAGATAATTTGTGAATTAAATAACCTAATATTTATATGTTATGTATGATACATGCAATTAACTGATTTTCATGTCATATACTATACATATTTGCTCACATACTCAAATTATTAAACTTCACATGAGGTGTGATATACAAGTTAATAAATATATGTATCATTGACAAACCAACTCATAAGATATAGATCGATTTTCTCATAAGTCGTAATCAAGTTGGCTCGCTAGAAACAATGTTGAGACATCTCATGAGCTCAAAATGAGATAGTTCATGAGTCGAACTAAATAAGCCACCTAATCGAGCCAGTTCACGAGCCGAACAAGGTTGAGCTCAAGCTCGGCTCGTTAATAAACGAATCGAGCTTTTATTGCATCGAACGAGCTTTTATCGAGTCCGAGACCGAGCCGTTCGTGAATAGTTTGGTTGGTTAACAGCCCTACATGTGTACATTTGTAGAGAGGTAATGACATGAAAAAGTGTTAAGATAATAAATTAATAGTCATCGGTTCTCATTAGTTGTTGTTACTCACTCTATTAGAGGGATGTACTTCTGGAAAATACACTCATCTATGTTTTATTTGCATCTATCTGCTTACTCAATGTTTCTTTTCTTGTCTTTTTTAGAGAGCCATGTGAAAATGGAGTTGAATAGTTAAACCTTATGTTTTCCGAGGGCTAATATTATTGTTAGGGGCTACAAAATGAATTAGAATCTGAAATTTTCAGGTTGGAGACCAATGATAGTACTATTAGACAAGTCCTTAATTATTCGCATTATTGGCTTTTCTTACACGGGGTTGAAGTTGTACACTTGATAAAGCCTATCGTTTTCTTTCCTCTTGCATGCAGTATGTGCATTTGCAGTAACTATTGTCAAAAACTAGTTGATCTGATTAACTCGAGTTGTTTGGAGAGGTTAACTACAAATCATATACAATTTACTAACACACTAGTCTCTCAAATGAAAGGCAGTTCATATGGGCTTGAAGTTTGCCGGACATCAGACAGCACGTGCTTAACTGAATATATGAGTGAACTGAAGACCTCTCTATCATAGAAGACTCTAATACCATGTCATGAACCTGTTGATTTCAATAACTCGAATTATTGTGAGAACTTCAATTGTGAATCATATACCATTTACTAACAACTACTATTTTGATCTCTTGGAGATTTGGAAGGCTCTTTGCTAGTGTTTTAATTTTGATGATATAGATCTCACCGGTTCATAAATAAATAAATTATTTAAATTAAAAAATTTAGTGACGTTGTAAACCAGAAACGTAATCTATTATGTCTAGCCTAAATTTCCTAGCGCAAGTGTAATTATTGTTTAGTATTTAAAACGTCCCTCTAAGAAGACAAAGACGGTCAACTACTTTATTGAAAATACAAGGAAAAGGGTTAATAGCATTTTATAAACAAAAGGGAGGAGCTATCAGCTATCCATAGACCATAATTGAAGGTGGGCATATAAGTTGAATAAGGGGTCGTTTGCTTGTTGGATTTGAAAAATGAGGGTTTTGGCTAATAAAAACTTTGGGATTTATGTTGGATTTATTGGATTATGGATTTGAAGAGTCTAATGTTTGCATGATAGATTTGATGATGGATTTGTGATGGATTTGTTAAATAAAGGGCTAATACCACTGGGAAACCCGAACTATTAACTTTGTGTCATTTGTGTCCTAAAGTATTCGATACGACATTTGTGTCCTGACGTATTATAGTTTTGTGTCATTTACGTCCTGACAATTTTGTTGACCGTTATAGATAACGGTTGACCAAACAGTCAACCATAAAATGTTGACTTTTGGTAACATGGCACATATGTGGCAGCCACAATGCGCCACGTCAGCTGCCACATCATATTGTTATTTTTAAATTAAAATTAATAATTAAAATAAAAAATAAAAAAAAAAATAATCCCTTCTTCTTCATCTCTTCATACCCGAACAAAGTCCCCTAAAAAAAACCCACCCCTATCCCTTCTTCCTCATCCTTTATTTGATCAACCTCGCCCCTATCCTCTCCGTCGAACTGCCGAAAGAAGTCGAGGAAGCCACTTTCCACTCCGTTCGCGATCGGCTTCAACTCTTGGGGTGGTGGCTGCGTCGTGAGAAGCGGGTGCAGCAGCGGAAGGAGGAGAAGCTGGTCGGCCGTCGAAGTCATTCTATCTTACTCGGACAGCGACGGGACTCCAGTACGACCCGTATTCTGTCTCAACGTCAAGAACGGCACGGACGTGCACAAGTTTGAGGCGATTGAGGACTGCTTCATCCTCGATTTCGACCCTTACGATCAGCCCGCCTCTGATCAGAAAGTCAAGAACTTTACCCCTGATGCCGACATCGCACTGATTTCCGAAAAGGGCTAGGTGGGTTTTCCCCCCTTTTCGCCTCTCTCTCTCTCTCTGATCGTATCCCTGTGTTTCCCTAAATTTGATTAGCTCAATTCTGAATTGGGTACTTTTGGGGTTTTGAATCTTTGCTCAAGGTGGCTTGTAGAGATTATCCCCATGCTAGGCATCTCTGTGCTGAGTTTCCATTCGACAAGACTCCACACAAGAAATACTGCTCCGGGGTTTGTGGGGTTTTCCTTTTCCTCTTCCAATTGCTGGGCAAAGTAGGAATCTTTCTTCTCCGTAGGTTAATTTGGGGTTGTGGGTTTTGAATTCTTGCAGTGTTACTGCTACGTTTGAGATACTTCCTGCGGTGAATCAGGCGCGGATTCTTCCTGCTCCTCGTAGTAGAGAGAGACGAATCGGATTGCACACTTCTTTCAGCACGGCGAGAACTCCGACGGCTGAGGTAAGGCAGAGACAGATTCCGGCGGTAGTGCTCCCAGGCCCTTAAAATTCAGTTCCTTCTCCGCTCCCCTCCGCCGTCAAATCTCCTCTCCTCTCCTCTGCGCTCATGTGCCACTGAATTAGCCGAGAGTTCAATGGAAGGAGCTGAGTGGAAGACGGCGCAGATTCGATTGGTGAGTTCACACCCAGAGGTATACGAAACCTGCGACGATTCCTTCGCCCTCGTCGACGCCCTCCTCGCCGATCGAACCAACTTGATACTCCACATCCCCGCCATTTGAATTTCCAATCCTCGGTCCAAGCTTCCCCTCGGATTCGGCGGCAAAGCCATGGTTTGGGTCGTTGACTCCCCTCGGATTCACATTGACCGTCGCCGAAATTGTTCCCCAGAGATGCAGATCTTCAGATCTGATTTTTTTTTTTATAACTTTTCTTTATTTCTTTTTGTTAGTTTATTCATTTTTATGAGAAAATAAATATAATAAAATAATAAAAATTCCACGTCAGATGCCACATCAGAGCGGTGACTAGACTTTCTGTTAAAAACTAACGGTCAACGCCGGTCAACCATAACGGAAAAATAGTTTGGGACACAATTGTCATATCGAATACTTTAGGACACAAATGACACAAAGTTAATAGTTCGGGTTTCCTACTGGTATTAGCCCTTAAATAAATAACTAACCATCAAGGATTTGCAAATCCCAAATCAATATGTGGGATTTACAAGTCTGTGGGGTCCACGGATTTGGTTCCAAAATAAAGATCAAATCTGTGGACCCCACGGATTTAGCACCCTTCAACAAACAATGGACTTATGTTAAATCCATCAAACTTGAAATTTGGGTACTAAATCCATGATCCAAATCCAACAAGCAAACGACCCCTAATTTTTTGATGATTCATCTTCTGAATAATTGGTGAAATATTATAGTATATGTAAATATCTAGAGAGAAATTAATATTAAAAAGTGGAAAGATCATGGACTGATGGTCATATTTACTCTCAAAGTTTCTTTATATATATTTTATTCTTTATTTTATGAAAATCTGTGTATTACAGGTGCTAGAGGTTGAGGGGCGAGAAATTATAGGAGAAAGGAGGGGAGCCTGAGATACAAATTTGGAATCTCCAGACTGAAAACCAGCAACACAATCACTCACCATATCTCGTTCGCACTCTAGATCATAGTTTTGAGTAGTTGTCTAAAAAATTATGAGTAGGTTTCATTAATAATGGACATATAGTTTAGGGTTAATACAATTTAATATCCAAATCTTTCATTTTAAACAATATAATAGCCAAACCTTTTCGAAAACAATCTAATATACAAATCGTCAACTTTCCGTCCGTTTGACCGTTAGTTGACACTTCAAAAAAGTATTATATTGTTTAAAATGAAAGGTTTGGATATTAAATTGTATTTACCCTATAGTTTATGTTGTGGGCCACAAAAAGGATATATAGAATTATGTACATCCACCATATTCATCCAAACACTTATTAAACGAGTTATAAATTAGTGAATTCAAATGAGTTTAGTAATTGTTCCGCCCATTGCTCACCCCTACGATAGACTATCAATCCTCGTGCTTACAAGATCCAGATTTCATCCATGGGAAAGCTGCATTCTTTCTTTTCATTTTTAGCCCTCCCGCACTTTAATCCTAGCTCTGCCATTCGTTAAAAATAAGGTTGTTTCGAATTTAACGTCTCTCGCTTTAACACAAAATATTATACTATAGTCGCTGTACAATCATGTTGAACTCTAGCTACCTTCCCCCATATGTGCCCTGCATGCTAACAATATATAGTTAGGAGTTTGACGTACACTATACGTATTCGTTAATATTTGTTATATGTACTTTGATATATTTCGATAAATTAGAAGCACTTAAATATAGTATCACACTTAGGGATGGCAATGGGTCGGGTTGGGTCGGGTTTTGCCAAACCCAAACCCAAACCCATGGGTTTATCTTTGAAAAAAACCCGGGGTAAAACCCACTGGGTTTGAAAAACTCAAACCCAACCCAACCTGTTGGGTATCCACGGGTTCATGGGTACCCACGGGTTTTGTCGTAAAAAATTTACAATTACAAGTTCTTATCAAAATTAAAGTCAAATATCAATCTCTCAATACAAATTATCCATATATAAAACACCATTCTAGAAAATTCAAGCAAATCACAAATTAACTATACAAATTGTTCAACATCAATCTAGAAAACTCAAGAAAATTGAAGCAAATCACAAATTATCCATAAATAACATGTTTAATTGAAAGCTTCTTTCTTTCAATTAAGTTTCTTTACTCTCCACTCCATAACATCAACTTCATTCTACACAATTAAAAAGAAAAAATTAGACATGTCTCCACAAATATATAAATAAGAATAGTTGTTTAGAATATTAAATATACCGAAAAAATTAATTATATGGGTGGGCGGGCGGGTACCCACGGGCCGGGTTTACCTAAACTCAAACCCAACCCGATGAATAGTGAACGGGTTTAAACCCAAACCCGACCCAAAACCCGTCAACACGGATTTTACCCGCGTTGACCGGGTTAGGTCGGGTGGATACCCATAGGTTCGGGTTTGGTTGCCATCCCTCATCACACTCTAGTCGTCTAAAGTATTGTAAAACTGGACGAGTCTAAGATAGTGTGAACAGAAACATATTATACATTATTTTATCATATTAAGGGGGAGTGAGTGGTTTCATTTTGCTATATATAGGAAGCGGGGTGCTTGCAGAGCCCAAGTGTGGTAGTGGTTGGTTTTAGCCCAAAGAAGAAAGAAGAAAGAAGAAGAAGAAAAAAGCAAGAGATTTAATTATATATGGCTGCTACTAAAAGCGCCCATCCAAGGAAAAATTACCACCCAACTGTGTGGGGTGACTTCTTCATAACCCACGTCCCTGCAACTGATGAGGTAAAACCATTCATTATATTACACTCATATATTTATAAGCCAGAGGGTGATTATTGGAAGTAAAGAATGAATCTTATATATGTGCTTTCTGAATCTTAAACTCATCATATGTGCGGTCAGCGGCGTAGTCAGGAGTTTTTGTAGGGTAGATTCGAAATTTTTAGAAAAAGAAGCATTGTCGTGGTACGTACAGGTGGTGAACGGCTGGAATGAAGAAATCGAAGTCTTGAAGTCGAATATAAAGAAGAAGCTATCATATCCAATCAACCATGTGCTGGAAAGGTTGAGGCTCATTGACGCGGTGCAGCGATTAGGCGTTGGTTATCACTTTGAGAAAGAAATAGAACAAGTCCTCAAACAAGTTCACGGAGACAGAAATATATGGAGCGATGATGACGATAATGACCTCAACAGTGTTGCACTCCGTTTCAGACTGCTGAGGCAACACGGTTATAACGTGTCAAGCGGTATGTAGCTTGATTAATTAATATGTAAATAATTAATTAGATCAATGTGTTGCATAATCCTTCTAATTATTATCATTGATGACTCCATATATATCTTTTGTCCATTTTACAAATTCGTTTTTAGGCAAAGTATACCCACTTTTCTTTCCGCCATGTAGCTGGTTTGCTGTCAACCACGTACGTACAGCTTAGATTGTGATATTATGATATATTATCTGCTCCAAATAAATTTTGCATATCATTAGAATATTCTAAATCTACCCGAGGACGTATCGAAAACTTCAAAGGCAGAGTATTTTGTACTAATACCGTAGTTCTAAAGTCACCTACCGTTTTGGGGTCCGCGGTATATATTCCCGGCCGTCCAATCGAGCGGTAGGATACGGTTTCTAGAACATTGATTTTAAGCAAAATTACTGTATGCTATGAAATCAATCGATCGATCGACCTCTCTCTAACGTGCGTATGCCATATATATTTGCAGATGTGTTCAACAAGTTCAGATCTGGAAAAGAAGGGTTCAAGAAAGAGTTAACGGACGACATTGAAGGCATGTTGAACTTGTACGAAGCTGCATATTTTAGGACACGGGAAGAAAGCATATTAGGCGAAGCCATCGAGTTCACAAAGGCTCACCTAAGAGCTAAAGTTGCAGAGATGGAACCCCGTGTTGCTGAGAGAGTCAGCCGCGCTCTGGAAAGGCCTCTTCTCAAAGTCGTGGAAAGGGTTGAACACCTGTATTTCACCTCTTCTGCGTATGAACATCTCGAGGGCCACGATCCAGTCCTCCTCAAGCTGGCCAAGCTGAACTTCAATGTGTTGCAGCACTTGTATCAGGCTGAACTGCGCCCGCTCACCGAGTAAGCGAGCCAGTCAATGGTCCTAACTGTCGTGAAACCAACTGGTTTCAATAACGGGAGTTGTTGGGAGAGGTCCATGTGTGGATTTTAACCACTTTCATACATACCCTCTTTAAAACAACACTTAATATTGGGTCAAACACATATATAACCTATGTTTGATCTGACTTTTGGAAGTGTTTTTCTAACTTCAAAATTTTAAAGTTGGATGAACACATCTCTAAGCTCAGTTATTGAAAAATCTGAAAAGTGTCGAGTTTCTGTGAAAAACTAGTTTGGAATTACAAGATTATTCTTACCATATTAAATTATTTTCCTAATACATAATTTTCCTTCATTTATCTTATTTTAAAAACAAAATAAATTAGAAACTAACATTATTTCATAGAAAATAAATCTAATAAGATCCACTTCGACATTTTTCTAATTTCATTCATATTTTATATTATAAATTTTTAAATTATCTTTTTTTAATAATTTTTCAGCACAACGCTCTCAACTATTTTTTTTAACTATTGTTCTAAAAGTTTCAGGGTGTGCCTATGGTGACATGCATGTCACGGTGACTTGCACTTTCCGGTCGACCTCAGTTAGGATTAGGTCGACCTCATTTGCAATCCGGTCGACCTCATATAGGATCCGGTCGACCTCATATAGGATCCGGTCGACCTCATTTAGGATTTGGTCGACCTCATATAGGATCAGGTCGACCTAATCTGTTGTTTCAGTGTAAAAACAGTTCATGGTGCCTACTTTGGATATTCATATCATACAATTGGCTAGATGGAAATTAAAGACTAATGACTTGTTTTGAAGCTGGAGTGTCCCTCTACATATTGGAGTGGAAGAGAGCTCGATAGAAAGTCCAGAAGACCATTTTTGAACATCATCAAAAGGCTATGCCAAAACTGGGAAACTGCCTGGAAATGGGTAAGTCTGGAAACGTGTTTGTGAAGCCTATTTTGGAGCTCAATTCGAGAAGCATGAATGCGAGTCGAGTCCAGGAGCCTCTACCACGTTAAATTATGTATGTTTTTATACAAATTCAAAGCATTGGATGAAAGAATGGATATCTGTAAGGCTTCAAACAAAAGGGTCGAAGTTGCTACGAAGGCTGTTTTTCTGGCAGACTTCGAGCACAAGCAAGCTGCCAGAAAAACAGCCTTTGTAGCAACTTCGAGCCTTTTGTTTGAAGCCTTAAAAATATTCAATCTTTCATCCAATGCCTTGCCTTTGTATAATAAAATACGTAATTTAACGTGGTAGAGGACCCTAGACTTGACTCGCATCCATGCTTCTCAAATTGAGCTCCAAAGTAGGCTTGACAAACACGTTGCCAGACTTAGCCATTTTCAGACAGTTTCCCAGTTTTGGCATAACCTTTTGGTCAGGTTCAAAAATGGTCTTCTGAACTTTCTATTGAGCTCCCAAGTACTTTAATGTGTAGAGGGACACTTCAGCTTCAAAACAAGCCTTTAATCTCCAATTTCCATCTAGCCAATTGTAAGATATGAATCTCCAAAGTAGGCACCATGAAACTGTTTTTACACTGAAACAACAGATTAGGTCGACCTAAGCCTATATGAGGTCGACCGAAAAGTGCATGTCACCGTGACATGCATGTCACCGTAGCAAAGTCCAAAGTTTCAAGCCATAAATTATTTCTGCAAAAGATACAGTAGAGCCAAACTAGCCCATAGTAACATTCTGGGCTTATGATTTAGGTGGTGGATTAAGCTGGATACACCAACGAAGCTGCCTTATGCTCGAGACAAGCTCGTGGAGACCTACTTCTGGGCTTTAGGAGGATGCTATTGGGAGCCCAAACACTCCCTAACCAGACACTTCGCTACCAAAATCACTCTCATCGGGACGCTACTAGATGACACATACGATATTCACGGTACCATTGAAGATCTCGACCTATTCACTGCTGCCATCGAAAGGTACGTATGCATTACATATGTGACAAAGACTAGCGTACGCCTTACGTATAATATATGCTCGTCACTGCATACAGGTGGGATACTAGCGCGAAAGGACTGAAAGATTACATGATCGTCCTTCTCGACGCACTGGTTGGCATTCATGATGAAATCGAGGCAGTCACTTGCAAGGAAGGAAGGCCATGGTGTTTGGACTACATGAAACGAGGGGTATGAAATGAAATGGATGAACTAGCTAGCTAGCTAGGGTTTTATACCCTTTAATTATGATCCTTTCTTTGATTTTGTATCTTGTAGCTCAACAATGTAGCAAGGCTGTACATGGAAGAAGAAAGGGCTTCTCAGTCCAACAAAGATTTTGTGCCCACAGTGGAGGTGTACAGGCAGCTTTCTTCCTTGACCACTTGCTTCGAATGGATAGCTTTCTCCGTCCTCTGCGGATTGGGCGAATCGGTTCCTAGGAGTAACTTCGAATGGTTAGCTTCTTCGCCCGAAATCTTAATCGCTTCGACCGACATATGTCGCCTCCAGGATGACCTTGCTGACAACATGGTATGTACTATATCTCTCTGTTCCGTTTAATACACGCGTGTATCTATAGTATAATCGTCGCTGGTGTGTACACACATGTTTTGTGCACATGTGGGATCGATGCAGAAAGAGCAAGAACTGGAATATTACATGTCGTCCGTGGAATGTTACATGAAGCAGTATGGCGTGTCGAGACAGGAGGCGGTGGATGGACTGAAGGAGATTGTGGAAGAGGACTGGATGATAATTAACGAGGAGTTATTGATGAACGTACCTTCTCATATTTGTAAAAAACTTCCTCTGGTGTTCCTCAATCTTGTGCGATTTATGGATACAATCTACAAGGATTTTGATGGCTACACACACTCCAGCACCAGGACCAAGGATATTCTCATGGCTCTTCTTGTTACTCCCATGGTCGTGTAATTTCCTTTGAAATGTTTTTGTACCTTATGTATCGGGTTGTGTCGCGTGTGCTTTTTGGATTTATATCATGTATCCCGTTTCGTTTCATCGGTTTCTTTCAGCTGGGTTCGAGTCCGAACAATAATAAATACATGTAATTCTCTGATTAAATCTTTTACCCGATTTGAATAAGTTATTTTTCTACCATAGCACATATGACAATGTTACTATAGTATTCCAAGGACATAACCCTAGCTATGTACATGTTCCTAGGGCCATAGTTTGGCATGAAGAAATTGTACATGATGCTCCCTCCTGCTTTAGTAGTGTTATTAATCATGATTATAAATGAGACTTTAAATTAAGAATGGTTAATTTGTCTGTTAGAGTACAACAAAGAGGTTTTTGAGTGACAATAAAGAAATCTTTCTCCCTTCCCAACAATTCAAATTGAATTCCCAATTGTCACTATCGCCTATAAAAACAAGCTTCATCATTCCATTTTATTCATCCCATCTTCTCTATTTTTTCACTCATTCAGTTTCACTCTTTTTCTTTGTTCGGTTCTCCATAGAAATTCTCTGAAAGTAATTTGAGTGATTGGTAGATCCAATATAAAGTATGTTTTATATATTCTGAGAGAAATGCTTGTTCATATGACTATATAATTACATTTTTTCTTTGTGCGGTCAACCGCTATAAGGTACCGAATTGGAGGTCAAATTGTGTTGTTTTTTCTTCTTCTTTGGTTTGCGAAATGCGCCTATTAATTTTCCAGTTTTCCTTTTCGCCTAACTCAAATTTTTGATGTAATGTTATAAGTTATTACTCAGATGTTAGATGAGATTTGATATAATTTATCAATGTATGAACAATATAATTATATTTTGCATATATCCAGGCTAAATCGGGTTAAATAATCGATCAGACCATTAACCCTCAACCCGATCGACTTGCTCGACCGGGCCAACGGGCTAAACCATATTCACAACCTTGACCGTTACACGCAGTAGCATCATTCTTGGTCACCCTCCATTTGAGACGTCATTGGAGATCTCATGGGCTCCAAAATCTTCACCCGCCATTTATAATTAAGCTGTGACACCACAATTACTGACTAAATGACTACTTGAAAATGTAGTGTTCCTACATTATTGTGTATAACTGCACTACCTATACTACGGATTGTGATTGAATGAAAAACAATCCACCAGTCCAAGATCGAAGACAAGAAAAGGATCACAAGATTTCTATATGTAGACTGTAGAGCAAGACAAGGACAATTATAGAAATAATCCTCCGCTAAACCAATAGTTGAAGTTAAAGTAAAACAGTGAATATGGTAAAAAACTAATATCCTACAAAATGTAATTTCTGACCGTTCAGATTTGTCTCATCTAACGGTAAAAAAATACACTGATAAGTAGGGGTGGTGGTTTTGTCACTATCATATCTGTCATATCATGATCTTACCACTATGGTCATACTAAATGCACATCATATCACTATCATATCTTGATGCTTCCACTATCATAGTGATATTACCATGATAAGACATTGATATGATGCCATCAAATTATTTTGTTAAACATAATTCATCATACAAACATCATATGACTATCGTATCATTATATCATTGTGATAATATTACGATATGACAATGATATGATGCCATGAAATAAAATTTGTCAAACATAAGACGCCATATCAACATGATATCACTATTATATCAAACAACTGTCGGTGGTAATATCGTGATATACCAGTGGTATGATGAGCTGAAAATAATTTTTTTTCAAGAAATATCAAAATAAATATAATCTTGTACAACACAAAAAATCAGATATTTTCTACGAAAATTGTTGTGAAATCCGATTTGAAACGGATGAGCTATGGTCTATTGAATCCCGGAAGATTTGAAAAGTGCATTTATAGCACATTTGAAAATATGCACAACTTGCACCAGAACTCTCGAGAATACTCTCTCTCTTACTTTAATTTGAACTCTTTTCTCTGCCCTCTCTCTTCTTCTCGGTTCCATTTTCCTTATTTTCCAGGGGCTGCCGCCGGCTCCTTTTGGTGACCGGCGGCAGCTCAAGCCCCTCCATTACTTTTTTTTTCTTCCTTTTCTTTGTGCTCATGCTTCTCCTGGCCTTGTTCTAGGTGATTTTCCTTCGGATTTCCAGCTTTTCCCTGCCATTGTGGCCTTCAGCTTCCTTTCCAGTCGAGCTTTGTCTCTTCTTTTCCCGTCGAGTTTTGTCTCTTCCTTCGGTTCTTGGTACTCCTGTTCAAGGTTTGCTCGTTGTAGGATCCGGAGTTTGCAATTTGGTGGGTGCCTATTCCAGATCTGGATGGTGGTGATTTTTCCAGATTGGTGGTCTCATCCTTTTTTTTGGTAGAAGGTGGTCTCATCCTTTGGTGAAACCATTCTCTTCTTTCCCTTTCCGACCTCCACTTTGTGTTTGTGTTGCGGGGTGAGTCATCGGATCGTAGAGGGTCGGGTCTTCTCCGGCGGTTGTGGTTGGTAATCGGTGTTCTCCGTGGAGATTTGTGGCTCCTTTGGGATCTTCTGCTCTGCTTCAAACATGATATCTCTGCCTCAGCTTCCTCTGCCTCTATAAGCTTGGAGCAATCCGTTTCAAATCCTTTTCCAACGCCATGCAATCTTGTTTCTAGGATTCACTGTGATGGATGCCTTTGAGTTATCCCTAAGAGGCGGCATATGGTTGATGTAATCACTAGCCATGGATTTCGAGTTGATCGGACAAGCTGACTTCGCTCTTGTTGCATTCTAAGTGGTTGGTTGTAAGAGAGATTTCTGATGTACGGGTTTTTTCAAGGGTTCGATTCTGTTGGATGGTTGCTGTCAAACTGTGTTGTGCTCTCTGTTCTTGCTTTTGCTTTTCATGGTTTGATTGTAACCGAGTTCTCTTTTCCTTCTTCCTGTTGAACCAAAATGTTGGTTTGTTGTCTCTTTGTATATGACCGGTTAAAATGCAATAAAGACTCTTCTTTGTAAAAAAAAAAAAAAATTATGCACGCTGCCCCAAAAATCCAGTCTGCTACCTAGAAATTCCGTTTAGCTCTCCCCTCATTTCCCTCCTTGACCCTTTATATTGTGGAACGTTAGATCTCTACTCATCAAATTACAACCATTAGATCAAGTTTTATAGTATTAACAAAAGGAAGGGTTTTGTACTGGAATATAACTCATTAAGTAATGGTATTTGGCTATAGGCATAGATGGGAGGGTACCTCTAAATTCTAGTTGAAAGTGGGTTATACCACTTGTGATCAAAGCGGAATGTGGTCCTTTTACTATCCTATTCACTTGAGGTTGAGGACAATAGATAATGGCGACGCCATGCATGCATGTTTTGAGCATTACACCTTGGCATCATTGTAGGTCACTGTCCGGTGAGACGCCAATTAGAAATAATTGAAGTCAAGTAATATGGTACATGGTTATAGTAAGAGGGTCGAGGAATCTCTCAAAAATTTTGATAAAATTGTAATTAACCTCCGAATAGCATGTGAAAACTAGACCTACAAGGTAATAAAACGAATTTTTATAAACGACGTACATTTTCATTTATTTCTCATCAATTTTGTATAATAAACTATATTGATTGTTATATATAAGTTTTTTTAAAAAAAACATGCTTCCGAATTTCATATGCCTAATCAAATATCAAGATACTGCTCATTCTAATTTCTACAAGTTGTTATTGCAAACGTTGAAAGACCATTTCTATTTTTGAGTTACGTTAACAAATCTTAACTTATATTATGACCGTTGTGGAGCAAGTTTTTGCCACATAGGACAACGAAATCTCCACAATTTTCCATGTCATTTTGTCATTTTTAACATTTTAACTTATTAGTTAGATTAAAATAAAACGAAATAAACATGTATATCAATTGTCATGACCAAGATTTGAACATGTGACCTATGAGGTCAAACTATCATTATTTCAAATGTTCAACCACCATGATAAAGTATATTTGATGCTATTAACCACAACAAAACATGTATATCAATCACCATAACTAAGATTTAATCATGCAACCTACAAGCTCAAACTGTAATCATTTCAATTTTTTAACCAATAGAATAAAATATCTTTCATGCAATTAATCACAACTGTTTTTTAACTAATAGAATAGCTATCACGGTTAAAATTATATATTTTATTTTTTAGCATTTATAAGAAAAACATTAAAATCTACAAAAAAAATTAAAAAATCCGAAAAACATAAATTTAGTTGGTACACAATTATTAACTTTTACATAATTTGACATGTGATTTTCTTTTAAACTTGAAAAATGAAAAGTAAAGAATAATCTTCTTCCGCATTCTAGAACACGAAGAATTTAACATTTTGTTTGTACGAACTACTATAAATAGGTGAACCAATGTAGATATATTTCAATTTGTTAGAAAATACTTATTATAAATATATGAAATATATCAACATAGTTCAGTCATATGCTACAGTGATATATACATAAAATTTCATGTGTTTAAGAATATCATTAGACACCAATGGTCACCAAAATTCTTTTTTGTATATTTTTCAAAACCGAATTATGGTTATATGGTTTAAAAATGTTTGTGACCAATTGATGAAAGAAGTTTTAAAAAAAAATCATGTAGAAATACATAATGCATTTGTCATTTTTAGGATTGAATTTGACATTTCTCGCATATTAAAATGATATCATTATCTTTTCATTTAGGAATTTGCTACGGTGACATGCATGTCACCATAGGTCGACCTAATCTGTCGTTTCAGTCTTGTGCTAGAAGGCAGCTTACTTCGTAGCAACTTCGAGCCTTTTGTTTGAAGCCTTCCAGTTATCCAATATTTCATCCAATGCCTTGAGCCCCTGGCTTTGTAGACAAATATACCTACTTTCATGTGGTAGAGGCCCCTGGACTCGAATCTCATCCATGCTTCTCGAATTGAGCTCCAAAGTAGGCTTCACAAACACTTTACCAGACTTAGCCATTTTCAGCCAGTTTTCCGGTTTTGGCATGCCTTTTGTTCAGGTTCAAAAATGGTCTTCTGGACTTCATATCGATCTCCCAAGCACTTCAATGTGCAGAGGGACAATCCAGCTTCAAAACAAGCCATTAATCTCCAATTTCCATCGAGCCAATTGTAAGATATGAATCTCCAAAGTTGGCACCATGAAATTGTTTTTACACTGAAACAACTTATTAGGTCGACCTAATCCTAACTGAGGTCGACCGAAAAGTGCAAGTTACGGTGACATGCATGTCACCATAGGCGCACCCTTTCTTTTATGTTATTCTGACTTCTTTCTCTTTTCATTTTCCATATGTCATTCAATATTCTTCCATGCACAATTTTTTTTTTTTTTTGACAAAAGATATAAATTGATAGAAAACAAATCGATAGTTACACCCAGGAAGCCAGCCAGGTCTGGAAATCAAAATAACGACACGTAGTTGGGAACAAAGAAAGGGCCTGTCTAGCTACCATATGAGCTACCCTATTGACATCCCGTCCTACAAATCGCACATTAAAACCCGAATTATCCCTGAAAGTTTGAACCATTTCCTCCAAAATAGTCCCTGCCCGACTATCGCGCACATCAGCCTTACAGATCTTCTCAATGACCACCTTGGCATCACCTTCAAATAGCATGACCAGAAACCCATGCTCTAAACACCACCGGACAGCTTCCCTGAGCGTAAGAAGCTCTGCCACCATTGGATCATCCAGGCGAGGAAACTGAACCCCCGCAGCCCAGAGCGGCGTACCTACATCATTAAGCAGAACCATACCCCCTGCAGAATGTGACCCTCGTCGAACAGCCCCATCCCAGCGACACACCGGTGCCCCTGATCCGCTTACTACCATAGTAGGAAGATCAGGCGGATGAGCAGAGGGAACCTGAGGGTCCCTAGGCAGACCTAGCCACTCCCCTACTTGCTGGTTATACTGCCTCAACAATGCCAGAATGGTGAATTGCTTTCCTTCAAAGACCACCCAATTGCGGGACTTCCAAATTCGCCACAAGATAGCAATTACCGCCATAAACTGCGAAGGTTGATGTAAGACAGCCAGCAATTTTTTGAGGAAGAGGGGAAAAGTATGACGAGGCAGCCCCTCACCAAGCGAATCAAACCCCCCTGCGACCACAGAGCCCTAGCCACAGGACAGTCAAAGAACAAGTGTTCCATGGTCTCCTTAGAGGCCCAGCAGACAGGACAACGGGGCAGCACCTCCACGTCCTTTTCTATAAGAGCCTCTGTCGTAGGTAAAATTCTGGTCAAGATTTGCCAGACAAACACCTTCAGCTTCGGGGGGATATTCGCTTCCCAAACCCGGATCCAACTCCGTTTGTCCATCCAACTGACCTGCGCCCTCCATTTTCCCCTCTGCTGGTCCAAAGAGACCGCCAAATGATAAGCCGATTTAACAGTAAATGTTCCATCCTCAGTGGCATGACATATTAACCGATCCTCAATATTTTGTCGCGGCACGGGCATCGCCTTAATCGCCAGGCAAGTCATAGGGTCAAACCACTAACTCAGCTTATCATCGCACCAACGCCCTTCCCCAGGACAAAGGACAGCCGAGACCGTCATTTCCCTGTCATCCGGCAGAACCCGAGGGTTGTACAAAGGATGAGAAGGAATTTGGGTCGGGATCCAGTTTGAGTTTAATAACGAAGCTTTCTGCCCATTCCCAATCTGCCACCGCAAACCCTTGGTCAATAACTGCCGACCAAAGAGAATACTTTGCCATCCCCAGGAAGGACGTGACCGCGCCGTAGCAGAAAGAAAGGATCCCCGCGGGAAATACTTCCCTTTGTAGACCTGAGCTAAGAGGGATTGGGGTTCATTCAGAATACGCCATCCTATCTTAGCCAACAAAGCTTTATTAAACTGTTCGAACCGGCGAAAACCCATCCCCCCTCGTGCTTACTTTTACACAAATTTCTCCAAGAGACCCACCGAATCCTCGAGCAACCACTCTCCACCCCCCCCCCACCAAAATCTGGCCACATGCTTGTCCAAGAGGCGACAAAGCGATAACGGCAGGCGAAAGCAAGACATCACATGGAGCGGTAGAGCTAAGGCGACAGATTTAATCAGAGTTTCCTTAGCTGCCCAAGATAAAGTCCTGCGTTTCCATCCCTGCAAACGTTCCAAGAGCTTCTCCTCCAGGTAACGAAAAGTGTCCGTCTTGGAGCGAGCAATCAAAGTGGGTAGACCAAGGTATTTATCTTGTACCCCTACAGCACCTACACCAAGGATTGCCGCCAAGAACTCCTGATCTGGTAAAGAGACATTCTTACTAAAGCAAACAGCCGATTTCTCTAAATTTACCCTCTGGCCACTAAGCTCCTCATACTCATTAAGAACCTTTATCAGATTCTCACACTCCTGGAGTGAACCACGGAGAAACAAGTAAGAATCATCAACAAAGAACAAATGAGAAATGCGGGGAGCCCGCGGGGCCACCTTCACTCCTTCCAGTCTCTTCTCAGAAATGGGTTTACGAAGTAGGGCAGCAAAGC